CACCCAAGATCCTCCACACCAAAGAAGAGTTGACTTACAATAGGCATTCCAGTTCACCCCAAAGGCTTTCAGAAGAGTTGAGGATGGGCTTTCTGTAGGACACGCAAGATCCTCCACACCAAACAAGACCTGACTTACAATAGGCATTCCGGTTCATCCCAAAGGTCTTCAGTAGAGTTGAGGATGGGCTTTGTGTAGGACACGCAAGATCCTCCACACAAACAAGATCTGACTCACAATAGGCATTCCGGTTCATCCTAAAGGTCTTCAATAGATTTGAGGCAGGGCCCTGTGCAGGCCACTCAAGATCCTCCAACACAAGCTCTTCTAACTATGTCTTTATGGGCCTGGCTTTGTACACATCTCATGCTGGAATGAAGAAAGGGCCTTTACCAAATTGTTACCACAAGGTTGCTAAAGCTCAACTGTCTAAGATATCTTTGTATGATTATACTATCAGTAGTACCCTTTAATGGAAAAATTTGAGCTCAATAATTTAGATGGGGGTTCACATAGTGTACTCTATATGTGTCTATGTACAAGCAACGTATACAAGTTCTGCTTTTTAAATTAATTTGGTCTTCACTGTTTAGATCTCCGAGGTTCTACCTTATGCAGAGCTGAAATTATGTTAGGTTAAACTGTTGTCAGTGCCCTCTGACATGCCACATTGTTCTCAGCAATTTATATCAGGACGTAGCAGCCTTCCCTGTCTCGGAGCATATCAGTCAACATCTCTGTCTGATAGAGCTAAAAAACAGCTAATAGGGACAGACTGGAGTCAGAGAGATCAAGCAACGCATTAGGTAAGAGATACTGGACGGCATGTAGAAGGCAATACGGTGACGTAACGAGAAGATTAAAAATGCCTTCAAATATTCGGAAACGTTCTCAGATCACAACCAGCTGTGGCTATGAAGTCGCCCCGAGGCGTAAGAAGACCTTTTACACAGGGTGCTTGTGCGAGGATCACTAATACGAACCAGAGCGTCAAATACAAAGCTATTTTATACTGTCCAGTGACCTGATCTCCTCTCTGGATCAAATTACCGCCTGAAAAACACCATACTTCTCAATCAGCAGCTCCGTGCGTGGCGTCTTCTTCAAGGACAAAAGGAGAACGGAGCAGCCGCCGGCCTAAACTGCCAAATCACCAGTATCACAGCTAACCCTGTTACACAAACCTGCGTAATGAGATACCAGGCAAAGGCAGCGATTTTCAGATGCAGAATAAAGAAGGTGACCATCAATTTTTTAAACTGCTGAACGTCAATATGTAAATGTACATGCAGCAGTCTCTAGCTTGAAAATCATATTTCACTTTGTGATTATAAAACAAGACTTTGTCTTCTTATATTTAGAATCTAAAGCAGCATTTCTCAAACTCGAACCCTTTAAAAAGTTATGCAAAATCTTGAGGCACCCCAATCTAAAATATACCAGAGACCCCCCCCCCAAAAAAAAAGTGAAGTCCCCCCTTAAAATCAAAAGCCCTTTTTCACATCAAAGTTTCCCTTTACATTAGCAGCCTTTTTTTTTTACATCAGGGCCCCCTCCCTCCACTAGGAGCCACCATTCACATCGAAGCCCCCTCGTTTTTTCATCAGCATCCCCCTCTTTTGCATCAGAGTCAAATCACAAGCCCCCCCTTCACATCAGGAGACCTCTTCATATCAGAAGCCCCCTTCACATCAGAGTCCCGCCTTTACATTAGAGACCCCCTCACATCAGAGTCCTCAGCCCCCCCTTAACTTCAGAGTCCTACCACTACATCAGGAGCCACAGCTGCGGCAGCATAGCAGTGGACGGGAGGTGGGGCAGGCCGGAATGGAAGCAAATGTTTGTCCTTTTCTAAATGGATCCCACCGTCCGTGTATTAGCATTATTTGTTTCTATAATGCTGGTGGCTGGCTTCCTGCATCATGGAAAGGCATAATGCGGTGCAAACATTTTGAGGCACCCCTGAAGAAGCAGGAAGGCACTCCTGAGGAAAGCAGAAGGCACCCCTGAGGAGACCAGGAGGCACCCCTGAGGAGACCAGGAGGCCCCCCTGAGGAAAGCAGAAGGCACCCCTGAGGAAAGCAGAAGGCACCCCTGAGGAAGCCAGAAGGCATCCCTGAGGAAGCCAGAAGCCACCCCTGAGGAAACCAGAAAGCACCCCTGTTTGTTTCTATAATGCTGGTGGCTGGCTTCCTGCATCATGGAAAGGCATAATGCGGTGCAAACATTTTGAGGCACCCCTGAAGAAGCAGGAAGGCACTCCTGAGGAAAGCAGAAGGCACCCCTGAGGAGACCAGGAGGCACCCCTGAGGAGACCAGGAGGCCCCCCTGAGGAAAGCAGAAGGCACCCCTGAGGAAAGCAGAAGGCACCCCTGAGGAAGCCAGAAGGCATCCCTGAGGAAGCCAGAAGCCACCCCTGAGGAAACCAGAAAGCACCCCTGAGGAAACCAGAAAGCACCCCTGAGGAAACCAGAAAGCACCCGGGGATTTCAGTGCAGCAGAGGCAATGTGTTGTCAGCACACAACAGGAAGTTGGGAGCTTGGTGGATTTCTGTCAGGTTGGCAGACATCTTTCTCTGTACTGGCAGTGTTTCCGAAGAGAGAAAACTTCACTCTATCACTAGACAGTACTTTCTACAGGGAATTCTGGGTTCATTTGCATGATACGATATGATACAGTTCTGCAACACTACAACCTCACTGTATCAGCTTGGAAACATGTCTTGTGATCAAAACAAAACTGTGATGTTCTATCAAAACTTTCAGAATTGTTATGAAACAAACTGAGCTGGTTTCAGTACTGATAGCTCGGGTTTTGTCAGTCTCACTATAGAAATGAGCCATTTATTGCATCAACTACACCGCAAAATCTCATCCATTATATCAAAGGGCAAATCAGTCCAAATGGGATATTTTTTTGGAGCCTGCTGGACTCAGTTAGCCCCTGGCTTCTTATATCTCTTGGCTACTCCAACAGGGAGACCTCCTTGGTATAACTCCCGGCTCTGTTCCTGCTTACCTGGGAGTTTTGGGTGTTCTCACACACCTTTGTGTGTTCCCAGCTCTTCCTAATATATTGTCTATAGTTTAAAATATATAATGATCCAGCAGGGATGGTGGGAGCTCCTCATAATGGTCACAGCAGGTGTACAGACCCGGGAACTCAGCACAAGGATAGTGGGAGCTCCTTATATTGGGCACATCCAGTGTACAGACCCGGGAACTCATCACAGGGATGGTGGGAGCTCCTTATATTGGGCACATCCAGTGTACAGACCCGGGAACTCAGCACAGGGATGGTGGGAGCTCCTTATATTGGGCACATCAAGTGTACAGACCCGGGAACTCAGCACAGGGATGGTGGGAGCTCCTCATAATGGGCACAGCAGGTGTACAGACCCGAATGCATGTTCCCCTATGGCACTGCTGGCCAAAGGAAATATTCCTCTGGACGAGTACTAGTATCGGCGCATCCCTGGTAACACATGGGCCGCATACGTCGAAATAAAGTCCCAGCCCACAAATAACCTCCTTGGTGACAGGTACAATATACTCCCATCTTCATTAAAAGCCTGTGAACCTTTTCACTGCAGACGCAGACGCATTGAGCCAACTTGGAAAGTATGTTCTCCTTAAAAGGAGCCTTTGTATTGTAATCCCAATCTCCTTTACAAAAGCCCTCCACATTTGTTTTTTTGTGTTCCCCGTCCTAGTACAAATTGTTACATGAACATATTTATCTGTTTTCCCGGCACCTCATCATTTTCTTACGCTTTACGACTGCTCTTAAAAAATCCAGCCATGAAATGCAGAATTTCTAAGCGGCCTTCTCTCAAGAACAACTCTCTAATGAAATCAAATGTGGATTTTGGCAGACAAAGCACGTTTTTTTTTCATGTTTTCTTTAGTTTTGTGTCCGTTTCATAAGTTGCACAAGAAAAGAAAGGGGAAAAAAAAGTAAATAAAATAATCCTTCCCGTCAACAGCAGGTGCAGAACTGTTGTAGGTCGATTTTTCAGGTCGCCTTGTGAGCGGTGTGTAAGGAAAACTCCACACCAAGCCTTCAACGCATAAAGAATTCCTTATTATGTGTCCTGGGAGGCATTATTAAGTCTGCTTAAGGATGTAAAATGCATCAGCAGATATAAGATGGGGTGCAGCTGTCTGGAGCGAGATAAAAAAAAACACCAACAGTCAAAGCGAAGAGAAAAAAGGAATATTTAAAGGGAAAGTTGGACCAAAACTGAGTTTTTCAGATTCATCTCCAAGAATGACGGGTGGTGAGTAATTAGGCCACGCTGGACCAGACCCAATCCTTTGTCTCATGAAACGAGCCCATGATGTAGAGCCCATGTAGTGACACATCTATATTCAGAAGCTTATCCATACCCATTGGCCCAACACTTGTTCCAAATGCTGGCTAAGCCATATGTGGAGTGCTCTTATCCAGGGCAATGCATATACACCTCTCCATGGCTGGGAAATTCAGCACAACCTCCACTGCAAAGTGAGATGAATCACTCATTAGATCTCTAGATCAGTGTTTCTCAACCATATTTTTCAACCATGGAACCCTTTAATAGTATACAAAATGTTATGGCACTACAAGTCTAAAATCTAAAAAATTTAAATGTGAACCCTCCAAAATCCATGCCAGACCCTTATCCCAGGTAGGGGGTCCAATATAGGTTTTATAAATCATAAATCATTCCGGCTGCTTGCGAAACTCTTGTGGTGCATAGCTTAGGGTAGTAAAAGTAGAACTAAGAACCAAATTTTGCCATACGGAGAGTAGAAGACGATCTGGCTCTGTGAATATGTTGAAATAAAGGAATTTGTTTACATATCTCATATCAATTGTTTAACTCATGTGAGATTTACTTAGCCGGTGTTAGAAATGTCTTCTCTGGAAGGTTATCTTGAAATCTAATAGAAAGTTAAGTAACACCAGACAGGGATGATGATGCTGCTGTCTGAGATAATCTGTGCAGGTTATTTACCTCCAGTAGTGCAGCTGCTGGATCCCCCTGCAGGCTTTTTCCCAGCTTATCAACTTCATCCAGGAGAAAAACCGAGTTATTCACTCCGACAGTCTTCAGTCCGTTTATGATACGGCCAGGCATGCTACCCACATAGGTACGTCTGTAATACAAAGAACACCAGCTAAATAACATATACTTCATATAATGTTACCTTACTTTTTTCTTTAAACCCCCCGTGCCAAATATACATATTTGAGGTATAATCTCAAGTACATTGCCAAGATTGTATGGACACCAGGCCATCAAACCAAGCATAATGGACATCCCATTGCAAAACCATGAGCACTGATATACAGTTGCACTCCCCCCCTCTTCTTTTTATCTGTAAATGCCTCTACTATTCTGAATAGTCTTTACATAAGATTTTGGAGTGTATTTATGAGCATCGTTGCCCATTCAGCCAAAAGAGCATTTGTGAGGTCAGGTACTGATGTTGGATGAGAAGACCTGGCTAACAATTGGCGTTCAAATTCATACCAAAGGTCTTTACTTCAGTTGGGGTCAGGGCTCTGTGCAGCCCATTCCTCCCAACCAAACTCATCAGTCAATGTCTTTATGGAGCTGGCTTTGTGCAGAGGGACAGTCAGGGCCGGATTTACTCTCTCTGCTGCCCCAATGCCAGGTTCCTCAATGGACCCCCTGTATACAGGCTGCATACAAGTGATTTTGGTGACATCGCCGAGATCAATTGTACAAAACAAGCGGCGTCTTCCCCGATGTACATTTAGCCCTGCTTGCCCAAAGCAGAGCTAAATGTAGAAAACAACTACCCGCCCGGCGCCCAGAACTGCATATCCTGGGAATCGGGAGATAGGAATTCCACATCCCTGCTGCCCCTCTACTCCCTGCTGCTCTGAGGACGGGCCTCGGTTGGCCTTGTGGGAAATCCGGCCCTGGGGACAGTCATGCTGGAACAGAAAGGGGATTCCCCAAATTATTCCCACAAGGTTGGAAGTACATAATTGTCCAAAATGTTTTTGTATGCTGCAGCATGAAACATTACCCTTACCTGGAAACGCATGAACTCAGTCTTTTGGAAGGGTGTCCACATACTTTTAGCTACAGGTAGGTGTAACCAGGGGCGTCAGAGTCGGGGTGATCCCGGGAGCGTGTACCGCGTGACGCCCCGCCGTTATGTTATTGCACACACGTGTGATGACGTCACACACTGTTACCTACCAGCGGCCATCTTGGTGATGGATGCCGGCAGAGAGAGGAGGGGATGTTCACCCGGCAGGATAAGGTATGCCGCTGTGTCCCCTCCTCTTTCTTGCAACTGTTGGGCTCTCCATCCATGACAGAATGTCCAACATTTTTTAGAGGGGGTGACACCAAAATGACATTTTGGGGTCACCCAGGTGCGGGCTGCATCCCCCTTGTGATGCCACTGGGTGTGATGGTCAGGTTTTCACAAACCTTTGCCCATATAGTATACATAAAGTTACCTATGTAATATATATGCTATTTTTTTTGTCTTAATTTCACTTACTAATAAGGAAACATAACATGCCCTTATAGGCTGGCCATATGCATACCACTGAATTATTAACTGAATTGCACTATCAGGTTGCTTCAAGGGCCATGGCGCCACAAAAAAAGCTATTTTGAAGTTTTTGATATGGAGAGTTAATCTCAACCTGTACTTGAGGCTTCCTTTATTGGGCCTATCTGCTCCTTTCTCACCTTTTTACTGTTAATATATTGGTAAAATTTTTTGGGGTTCTTTTTACTATCTGCGGCGATATGCTTTTCACACTCAGTTTTAGCTCCCGGATTTCTAGTTTGCATTTTTTGTTACATTCTTTGTAGTTAAGGAACGCCAATGCCGTCCTCTCCGTCTTATATTTTATATACCAGAGTAATCATTCTGTATCAACCTTTCACCTGCCATACCCCTGTAAAAACATCAGATTTTTCAGATATAAACATGCATATACATTCCCACATCAGTGCCTGGGTGGCCAATGACCAAGCCCATGCAGTCACATGAGGGTACGGCTATGGAGCAGGTGTGTATAGCTCCAAGCAAATTTCTGGTTACGCAGTATCTTCTGGGGGCTCTGGAAGCAAGCTAAGGCAGCAGTGGGATGATTTGCCTATCATGACCCAAGCATAGTTCCACTTTAATCCACCCCACAGCTTCTCATGACTTTTGGGGGCAGCAATGGCGAGATTCCTGTGGATGAGTTACCAGGTCAGCGCTGCTTGCCTCAGTCATTGCAAGGGGTCACGAGCTACCTACTGAATACTTTATCTATAACATGCAGTATACAACAGAACACCCTTTGAGTCCAAAGTAATCAGCAGTGCCAGGAGATATAGTAAGGAGATATGACCACGGGAGTCCTCAAGAGATATAAGAAGCCAAGAAATGACTCACCCCATCTTGTTCCACCCATTTTCTTTCTAAAACTGGCACTGGGAAATCTCAATCAAGAAAACTGAATGAACTCTAAAGCCAGTGGCTCCATTTTCTCCAAACAGTTGCAAAATCAGCAAAAAGATTTTATGTTTTTGTTTGTTTGATTGCTTTTTTTTGCTCAGATGGAGAGCCAATGTTTTCCCAGCCATGCTCCAGAGGTATTGGCATTAAGGAATAACAACGTAGCCAAGCTTGGATCAGACTGTTGCTTCTACACACACCATCTTGGATCAGCGGTCTTCGGATAAAACAAGCACATCAGGTGAATCTTCTTATCTGGTGTAACAGGCAGATTTACTGCAATGTACCTGCTGCTGTATATATACACACACCCATAAATGAACCAGACTAGACCGTTTGTTGGATCCATCTTCATCTATGGTCAATACTTCTGTGTTACTATGTGAAAATTCCTCACATGAAAAATGGGCCAAATCAACTCTCAGCTCACTGCGAATGTTTATTTCTCAAACCACGAGGCCAGAACGAGTTACATTTCACTTGTAATAAATCAAGAGAGTTAGGGGGGGGGGGGGGGGGGGGGGTT